TGCATTTAGACTGTGGCTGGCCATGTGCCGCTTAGAGAAGCCAACAAGCATGCTCTATCTCCTACTAACCCATGAGTAATCACTAGCCACCTGGGTTGCACCAGGGCTCTGGGACTCTGAAATTACTCATGGCTATGTGGACCCCCTGGTCCCTACTTAGGGGTTCCTATTTCAGGGGGACATTTTATATTTATTCCATCCCCCAGCTAACTGCATCACTGTGGCCTGTGCCTTTCTCCCAACAACATCCTTATCATCTGCAAAAGTGGTCTCCAAGTACAAGGTTTTGACAAGACCAATGGAAGCATAATGGCTTTCCAGAATTGGTTCCTGCTGCTTATGTGTCTCTGCCTCTTATTAACAACTAAGACAGAGATTCAGAAATATCACACCAGGGAATGGGAGAACAATTTCCTCCAGCCAGACTCATGCCCAGTCTTCCTGATCGCCTTTCATCTTTCCTGTTTTGAGGAAAGAGATCTTTCTGGGGGCTGCACTGCACTATATTCTGGACCCCATGCTCCTGGGGCAGGTCCTCCGGAACATCCCTCAATCGGCCTTCTTGCTGGCTTTTTACCACACTCCCCTCCCTCCCTTCCTGTCTCTTCTTTGTAGATAAAGAGAAACACGGTAGAGACTTTGTCTTTCGCTGTGGCTGTGAGAGACTGCTTGGGCCTGCATAAGATGGCTGCCCTCAACCTTAGCCTTTGCCTCAGTGGAAAAATCCCACTAGACTACATACGTGACTTTTGACAGGTTTAGCCCCTGGGCAAATAGGAAATCTTACAGAAAAAATAGCCCTTTGTGCTAACCACAGGGTCACGGGATCTGGAGCAGGAAGCAGGTGGTATTTCCCTGTCCTACTTGCCCCTAGGGATTGTGAAGTTAAAGATTGCATAGGGTTAATTGTTGATGTACGCCTTCCCACTTACCCCTCCCCACATTTGGTAAAATACTGATTGCTGTATGGTTAAATGCTTGAGTGACTCATGTGATTGATTTGTTTGAACTGTCCAATAAGCTTGCTGAACCTTCCCCCTGGGATAACAGTATATAATCGTTTTGCTGAGCCAATAAAGCGCCTTTGATCAGAAACCAGACTTGGGCCGTGTACTCTAACTTCTTAAAGATTTCCTCCACAGACATTCAAGATCGGATCGGCCTCTGATGACCCACGAATAAGAGGCGGCTCTCA